ACCTGTGCACTCTGTGGCTGATGCTCAGAGAAATCCATGCCCTCAGCCCTCAGGGCAAGGACATTGAGAACAGGGTAGAGGTTCAGCCATGGGGATCTGGAGCAACTCTGTGTTCATTTTATGAAATTTCTCAGGGTGGGAAACACTTGGAGGAGGAAAGTTTCAGTTTGTCCAGCAGTTCAATGAGATAAAAGTAAAATTCCCAGGGAACACTGTTGCTCACCTAGCGTGTCCACCAATCAGAGCACTGAGACTGAGTTTCATTCCGTGCTGTGGACTAGCATAGGCTATCAGTGGCCTGGCCTCACACGGTTGTGATTGGTAGGATCTGCAACCCAGATCTGCTCTGGCATCTGGCGCCCTGGCTGTGTGGCTCCAATCAGTCAGACTGAGCAACCAAGAGAACCCATGTGGCATGGTGACCACTCTTGCCACGGAGCCAATTCCTGTCTTCCCTCTGCACATCCTGCAGAGAGCCACCTGCAAGCAATCCCTGGAAGAAACCTGGACAGAGTTTGTTCTCCATCACCTGGTGCTTTTCAAATACAACAAAGGCCTAAACGTGTTTAGATCTTACTATGGTAGACAGGGCTGAAATCAGATGCCTGTGAAAGATTTTGGGTGAGTGGGTGTAGATCTTGAGTGGGTGCAGAGACCCAAACACTGGGGCCATCTTCTGCTTTCCCAGGCCACAGCAGATAACTGGATTTGAAGAGTAGTAGCTGGGATATGAACCAGCACCCATGTAGGATGGTGGAACTGCAGGCAGAGGCTTAGCACACTACACCACAGTTCTGGCCCCTTGCTCTGTAGGTCTGTGTCTGTTTTTTGTGCCAACATGATATTATAATTACTGTAACTTTGCATTATTTTTTAAAGCCAGATAGTGTGATTTCTCTTGCTTTGTTCTTTTTGCTCAAAATTGCTTTGGCTATAGGGGTCTTTCATGGTTCTACACAAATTTAGTAGTTGTTTTTCCCAGTGTCCTTAAATATATCATTGATACTTCAATGGGATTGCACTGAATCTGTAAATTGCTTTGTGTAGTATGGGCATTTTAATGATACTTATTCTTACAAGCCAGGAACATGGCAATTCTTTCCAATTGTTGTGTCATCTGCTGTGGGGAGCAACTGAGACTACACTAAATTACTTGAACTAGGACTAATTCTATGCATCTGATCTCCCACAATATGGCGCTGAGAGAGAGCAAACAACTTCTACACAGCTGCCTCGCCAATTTGACTAACAAGTGGCAGGAGCTGATCCTGCTCCTGATTGGAGGAGAGCAGCATGCTCAGCATGTGGGCAGCAGAGCAAGGATTGGTGGAAGAGGACTATAAAGGAAGAGAAGGACAACATGCACCAGGAACATCTGAGGAACATCTGAGCAGCCCCTGAGAGAGCTGGCCAGCGGTGTGCCGCTCCTCCACGGAAGTGGGGAAAGCGACAGGGGTGCCGCCCCTCCACAGAGGTGGGGGGGCTGGCAGCTAACCTGGGATGGCATCGTTCCTCCACGAGTGAGGGAACGGCAGCTAACCCAGGAAGAGCTGGGCAAAAAGAACAGCGCAGGGTCCGGTGTCGTTCCTCTGTGAATGGGGAAGCGACAATCTGCAACTTCTTTCATCACTGTTTTATTGTTTTCTTGTAGAAATCTTTTATATAAGATTAATTTAATTACTTGTGGCTGGTGCTGTGACACAGCAAGTTAAATCCTTGGCCTTAGGCACCGCCATGCCATATGGGCACCAGTTTGAGTTCTGGCTGCTCCACTTCCAATCCAGCTCTCTGCTGTGGTCTGGGAAAGCAGTAGAAGATTCCCCAAGTCCTTGGGCCCCTGCACCCACGTGGGAGACCCAGAGGAAGCTCCTGGCTTCAGATAGGCACTGCTCTGGCCGTTGTGGCCATCTGGGAGTGAAACAGTGGATGGAAACCTCTACCTCTCTCTGTACCTCTCTCTGTAACTCTTTCAAATAAATGAAATAAATCTTTTAAAAATTTTAAAAAAGATTTATTTAATTATTTTAGAGTCACAGTTAAAGAGGGAGAGGAAAGGCAGAGAGAGAGAGAGAGAGAGAGAGAGAGGCCTTCCTTCTGATGGTTCACTACCCAATTGCCCGCAATGGCTGGAGGTGCACCAGTTTTAAGGCAGGATCCAGGAGCTCTTCCAGGTCTCCAATGGGGGTGCAGCAGCTCAAGGACTTGGGCCGTCTTCCACTGCTTTCCCAGGCCATAGCAGAGAGTTGGATTGGAAGTGGAGCAGCCAGGACTAGAACCCGTGTCCATATGGATGCTGGTGCTTCAGGCAAGGGTGTTAACCCACTGTGCCACAGTGCTGGCCCCAATTGTAGCGATCTTAAACCTCTTCTGTTCAATTGATTTTTTTTTGTAATTGTTGGAAATGCCATTGATTTCTTCATTTATTCTCATAATTTGCCAGTGATGTAAAACAAAGCTATTAATTTATATCCTTCAACTTTTTTTATTAGTTGTAGCACTTTTGGTTATGTCTGTAGGGTGTTCTATGTATAATAAAATATCATCTGCAAAAAATTGGACTCCCTATTTTTCTATTTGGATGGTCTTTATTTCTTATCCTTGCCTGATTTCTCTGGCTAGGGTAACTCTGCTTTTGACCAAGGCAGTTACAAAGGTATGTCTTGGACAAGAAAAAATATATTCTTGATTTTTCTTCTTTTATTAACATTTTTGTTCATGTTAACATTTTTACAAGAATGGACAAATTTCATGTATTTCATGTATACAGTTTTAAGGGCATGATGATTCTTTCCTCTCTTTCTCCTTTTTTTTCTTTTTCTTTTTACATTGACATTCTTTCAGTTTTCTTTATAACCACAAGCTTAGCCATTCACTAAATAAAGAATTGAGGAAGTAGTAAGTAGAAAAACCACTGTTCCTCAAGAGAATAGACAAGGACTGTAAACAATAAAGAATGAACTCCTGACTTTCACAACAGAATGGATGCGACTGGAGACCATTATGATTAGTGAAATAAGCTAGTCTGAAAAATACAACTAACATATGTTTTCGCTGATTGTTGGTAACTATTATACAGAGCACAAAAAAGGATATATATTTGAGACTTCACCTCACCCCAGTTAGAGTGGCTTTCATACAGAAATCAACAAAAAATAAATGCTGGCAAGGATTTGGGGGAAAAGGTACCCTAGCACACTGGTGGTGTGCTGATTTTTATACATGGTGAGAGACTGTGTTTAGTTAGATCTTTTGTATGAGGATCGCAAATCCCAACCCTACTTAATGAAAAGATTGTCCTTTCTCCAAACATCTTACAGCATCCTTGTTGAAGGCCCATTGGCAATAGTTGCATGTGTTTAATTCTAGGGTCTCTGTGTGGTTCCAGTGGTCTGTGTCTTTTTGTGGTATTTTAATTACTGCAGCTTCACGGCACATTTTGAAGCCATGTAGTGTGGTGCCTGCTGTTCAGGCTCACTTTGGCTCTTGGGGTTTTTCATAGTTTAGTAGTGTTTATTATTCTCTGAAATATGTTATTGCTATTTCATGGAGATTGTATTGAACCTGTATGCCACTTTGTATAATGAGGACATGTTAATGATACTTATTCTCCAATCCCTGAACATGGGAAGTCTTTCCATTTCTTTGTGTCTGTTTCATTGTCTGCCATTAGTGAATGACAATTCTAATTGTAGAGATCTTTCATAGTACATTAGTTTTACAGTACACATATTGAAAAGTCTTAACTAGCTTTTTAAAAGATTTATTTATGTATTTGAAAGCAGAGTTACAGAGAAGGAGAGAAAGAAAAAGAGCTCTTCCATCTGCTGGTTCATTCTCAAGATAACTACAACAGCAAGGGCTGGACCATGCTGAAGCCAGGAGCCAGGAGATCCATGGGGTTTCCCACACGAGTGGCAGGGGACCAACCACTTTAACCTTGTTTTTTTTTTTTTTTTTGAGAGGCAGAGTGGACAGTGAGAGACAGAGACAGGGAGAAAGGTCTTCCTTTTGCCATTGGTTCACCCTCCAATGGCCGCTGCAGCCGGCACGCTGCGGCTGGCACATCGCGCTGATCCAAAGCCAGGAGCCAGGTGCTTCTCCTGGTCTCCCATGGGGTGCAGGGCCCAAGGACTTGGGCCATCCTCCACTGTACTCCTGGGCCACAGCAGAGAGCTGGCCTGGAAGAGGGACAACTGGGACAGAATCTGGTGCCCTGACCAGGACTAGAACCCAGTGTGCCGGCACTGCAGGCAGAGGATTAGCCTAGTGAGCCGTGGTGCTGGCCATTTAACCTTATTTTGATGCATTCCCAGACACATTAGTGGGAAGCTGGGTTGGGATGAGGACCAGTGGCTGTATGTGATGCCAACATTGCAACTTGGTAGTGGCTTAACCTGCCCTACCACAGTGCCGGCCCTAGTGGTGAAACCAATGTGTGTGATGATGAAAACCCTAGTGCACTCTTTCATGTATCTAAAGCACATCAGTAAGTGCTGGACCTCACGGTGTTTATGCATGATCTCAACTAGAGATAGGTATGCTTTCGCTCAAGCTGCAGAGGGGAGAACAGCTGTGCCCTTGATTCTTTCCTAACTTGTGCTCTGTCCATTCTCAAGGCCACAAGCACCCACACTGGGACTCAGTGGCCACAGCCCATTCCATGGAGTTTCCGGAGCCCCTTTATTGTGCTCTCTCCCTACATGGCCTCAGACCCCAAGTCCATCCTCAAAACTTACCTGTGTTTAGTCACCTAAAGTGTATAACTCTGTACAAGCTCCAGTTAGTTTGCATCTGCTTTGAAATGGAGGCTTGGGTTTGCCTAATAGTTGTTGTCTATTTAAGTAACCTATTATTTACACATTAATGTATACCAAAGTAAATAGCTTAACAGGAAAAATCTTAACTCCATAAATTTCATTGAACCCACAGAGTACATCCTACAGATAAATGTGAATCATTTTGCAATCAAAACATTTGCTCACCTAAAGCCATGTTAATTATTAATACGCAGTCAAGCACTTACTCTGCTTATCCCATATGGATTTGAAAGACTTGATCATTCGTTTTTCACTATTGATTAGCACAAAAGGACCAATGGTGGCATAGCTGTTGCCCACCAACATCTGGACACACAGACGAACTGGGTCACTCTTGCGCAACATTCCTGAGAAGGAGTAAACAATGCAGTCCATCAAGTACAGGAGCACAAAGAAACACAGGAGCAGCAGGATGGTCCTAGTGGCCCTGTGCTCTGGGGAGGCTCTTGGAGAGAGGCTGGTGCTGTGAAGGTGCTGGGACCTCCTCTTGTGCCTGCACAGGAGAGTCACCATGTACCCACTTGAGACGGCCATGAGCCCTACAAGGGAGACATCCCTCAAGATCCCCAACATGGTAAATGTGTGCTTGGGTAAGTAGCTCAGGGGCCTAAGAGAGCAGGATTTTGTGACAAACATAAGATTGTTGGATGAATGATTTGTGGCAGCAACAGCGGTGACTAAGAAACGAGCACTGATGGACAGATTGAAAGCCCATAGGAGGAGAAAGCCACACATGCTGTGAGGGGAGGATGTGTGCTTGAACTTTGCCAGACAGGAGCTCCTGGGGCTGAGGGTGATGGCCTGGAGGATGCTCAGCAGGCAGGTGTTGCACATAGAGAGACCTCGCATCACCTGGTATGAGTAGATGGCAGCCTTACATGTAATGTCATCCCATAATTCCTGAGATTCAAAAATGTCAGCAGCTATAAACCCCACAGTGATCAGCATCCCCAGGTGGATGAGGGCCAGGTGCCCAATGGCCAGGTCGGTGGGCCTGGGCCTGTGCTTGAGAAAGAACCAGAGGATGTGGAAGAGAAGAAGGAAGGTGTTGGCTACAATCCCAATGCTGACTTGAGAGAAAAACGCATTTCTGACACCAATGAAACTGGACAGTATATTGTCTTCACTCATCTATTTGGGGGACAAACAAACATGTAGTGAATGAAGAAAAAGAACTAGAAGTTACTTATCACAAATATTAGTACCTTTATGACTCTCAGCCACAGCCACTCACTCATGAGCCTGGGAATACTGCAGCCCCCCACATCTTCTCCTGGAAATCACTGTTCCCACCTGCAGACCTGCCAGTCATGTTTGGAACCTGCATCCTACTGCTCGGCTCCCACAGGACCTGGACAGTAAAATTGCCATTATGTGAAAGGTGTTTGCTGAGTTTTACCTTACATTTATTTTTACAAAGTAAAGGGCAAAGAGTTTTTCCCCTTTGAATCTGCAAAATGCTGATAAAGTTCTGGCAGCACAGTAAGAGTGCTGTAATTTTTGGTGATTTCTAAAGAGCACTTTAGGAAAGCACAAATCATCCCTAGTATACAGTAAGTGTCAATAGTATAACCATGGGTCCAGTTAGTCTTATCTCACTGCTATGATAGTTACTTTTGTTTATTTCCAGATAAACACTCTTAATCCATGAGAGACCAAATGTTGGTTAGTATAGATTCTGAATTTGAATCTCTGATCTGAGTTTTGCTAAATGTGTGACCTTGAAGTTTCACTGAACACATGAGCCCAAGTCATCTCATCTGTAACTACAGTGAGTGTGTCACTTACTAGAGATGCTGTGTGTGCAGGGTGTTAGGTAAATGTCTGAACAAGCACAGTGCCTAGGGAACAGTGTTCTCTGTGGAAACTTCAGCCATGGCTGTCCCTGTGAGGTTTTCCTCATGAGCTCACCTTGACAGAGTGCTGTCCTCTCCTAACTTTCCAGCTCCGTCCCTGCCTAGAGGAGCAGGGGGCCATGAGCACCACAGTAGCAGGCATTGAACACCCTCTGTTCCACGGTTTCTTCTCTCTGTGTTCCGGGCTGTGGAAACCGCCGTGACTATGTTCATAGTCTAAGCAGATGGATGATTGCTTTCTATGGAGATTTGATGGGACGCTTCCTCTGCCTGCAACAAGAAGGTGGTTCTAGAAGGATCTGCACCTGGGCCTGAGCCTTCCTGTCTTCCACATGCCAGGGGGTGCCTGGGACCCAAGTGTTGAGTGTATACTGGAGAACTTGGTGATGAGCTACTATGTATGCCTCCCCTGTGCAGTGTTCCCATACATTTGCTTCCAATCATAGAAGTTTGTGGCATTTCATAGCATTTAAAAAGCCCAACATGTTTCACATCTGTATCATCTGAAAATCAGAATGTCAGGCTGAATTGCATCCACAGCAAATTACAGTGTTGTAATCTATCATCTGTGTTGCTAAGGAGAAGCAGAAGGGTTTAAACAAAATTGGTGTTTCGCATATAAGAATTCTAGAACATGTGGGAATTGGGTCTAAACCTTGGAATATTTCCAATTTTCTACCATGGAAATTCCATAGTAGCATTTTGAACAGTGGACCTTTGTTCTCAGAGAGTTAATCAAAGAAATGACATAATCATTCCCATACATTTAGAAAGATAAGGTTTTAGGCCGGTGCCACGACTCAATAGGCTAATCCTCTGCCTTGCGGTGCCGGCACACCGGGTTCTAGTCCCAGTCGGGGCACCAGATTCTGTTCCAGTTGCCCCTCTTCCAGGTCAGCTCTCTGCTGTGGCCAGGGATTGCAGTGGAGGATGGCCCAAGTGCTTGGGCACTGCACCCACATGGGAGACCAGGAGAAGCACCTGGCTCCTGGCTTCAGATCAGTGTGGTGCGCTGGCCACAGCACACCAGCCGCAGTGGCCATTGGAGGGTGAACCAATGGCAAATGAAGACCTTTCTCTCTGTCTATGTCTCTCACTGCCAGTCTGCCTGTCCAAAAAAAAAAAAAAAAAGAAAGAAAAGGTTTTGATCCTATGATATGCCCAGTGGAAAACAGGAAAATATGTGTTTCCTATTCTCCTGTCTGCATGTTAAGGATCCTGTGCTGCCATCAAATGAACAGAACATTCTTCCCGTCTGTCCTGTATTAACATGAAATTCCCCTGTGTACTGTTTCACCTGATACCCCAAATCTACTGACAGTGCTTTAAATAAGTGTAATAAGCACTGTCAGCATATTTCATTAAAATGCTTATTATGAAAAGTTACGCCAAGATTTCAAAATGTTTTATTCTGCTAAGATACACTTGTCTTTTAATTCAAATATTACCTGAACTTTTTAAAGCTCCCATTTACAGGCTTTGCTTTATTTCATATTTTAAAATATAATTGAACCTCATAAGAACAAGTACATGACATTATCAAACTGATATGCTTCATCATTGTTAAGTGGTGGTTGAGGGGCCACATACGTTCAATATTTCTCAATAGTTTGTGTAAAAATGGCAGGACATAAATGCCACAAAGTTGGGATCATACTAGGAAATCATATTTTGGGTGAATCATTCTCCAAAACCATTGGAAAATCTTGTTTTTCCTTTAGAGGAATTCTCCCAGAAGGAGCTGAAAAGCTTTTCCTCTTTTTCTCAGAATTACAGTAAAGGAAAAGGAAAATTTAGGATGCATCCAGGACCACCCACTGAGAGTGTCTCCATGAGAATCAGGATAAGGGGTGAAGACACAGTCTACTCACACAGCTGCCTCCACACTGTGCTGGGTGCACACTGCGAATATTCTGAGAAGATTTCTGCATCATGTTGTACAGAGAACATTCCTGAGCTGTGGAGGACTGTTGGAGCCCACGTCTCTTCTGAGGCTGCTATAAACCTCCCTGTAGTCCCAATTTCCCCCAGCTTAGGAACCTACCCACCTGATTGCTAATGTGTTCAGTAAAGAGACACTCACCCAGGAGGACAGCTTGGAGAATTCATGCACCAGAGAGGAACCTGCAGAGGTTTAAGGAAAAGACTCTCTGAGCTCATCTCAGTGGATTGTCATTGTGGTGTCTGGGGAAGGGTGACGGATTCCACTGGGGAGCTCAGAATACAGAGTCCCCAGTGGAACATGTCACCTCTCTGTGCATCTTCCTTTATTAACTCCTGGATAATAGCAATCTGGGGAGAGCTGAGCTCCAAACTTTCCTGTGAGTTCCATGAAACTTTATTAGGGCCAGAAGGGGGCTGGCTGGATAGACAGCACCACGTTCTCATATTGATCCTGTGAGTACCTTCTTCCCAACCTACTCCACACTGTGCAGTGCCTCTACTCTGTGCTGAGACCCCTAGTGACCTCCTTGAGTTCCTTGGGGCTGAGGGCCCTCTCCCTACAGTGTGAGGGGCAGCCTGGCCCCAGCATCCACTCACACACAAAGCACCTGGCATGCCAGCAGTTTATTCCATGATGTTTGATCTTAGTTTCAAGTTCCAAGATCTGTCTCAGATTAAATGAGAAATGAAAAGCTTTCTTATGGCCGTGGTCTTTGGAGTCTGTTTCATCATTTTCATTCTCTAACGATCCCTGCTGTGTTCCCACATGTGATAAATACACAGCCCCTGCCTGCTGATGGTCCAGACCCTTCAGGAGATGGAGCTCACACCTGTGTTCAAGGATGGGACCCGTGCACTCTGTGGCTGATGCACAGAGAAATCCATGCCCTCAGCCCTCCAAGGGCAAGGACTCTGAGGACTTAGTGATGATGGAGCACTGTGGGGGAAGCCAGCATCTCCTGGCACTGGAGGAGCCCCAGGCTTCAGATGTGATTGTGCTCCCAAAGTAGAGACGTCAGCCACGGGGATCTGGAACAACTCTGATCATTTTATGAAGTTCATCTTCAAAGGAACCTCTTACAGGATGAAATTCTGTCTATTCCGCAGTTCAGTGAGATAAAAGTAAAATGCCCAGGAAACTCCATTGCTCACCCAGCTTGTCCACGAAGCAGAGCAGTGAGAACGTGGGTTTAATAAAAAGGCTAGGGGCAAAGTGTGTCCATCAGTAGTCTGAGCTCACGCAGGCTGTGATAGGTGTGACCCACCACCACACAGTTCTGCTCTGGCTTTCCCTGATCTGGGACATGGCTCCTGGGGGCAGTAGCTCTGATCTGACAGACTCAGTGGCCATGGAATCCATTTTGGTTTGTGACCATATCAAAGATCCAATTGGCTCACCTCCTTAACAAAAGTTACATCTTCCATGTTATATTGTCATCCTAGGAATTTGAACAGGCTTTTCATATAGTTTTGATTTTACATTTTTTCATGCTAAAGCTGTTGAACATTTTTATGAGATTACTGGCCATTTGTATATCTTGTTTTTTTGGAGACAACTATAGTTCTATTGTTTTAAAAATATTTTATTTCAGAATAGTTTTAAACTTACAAAACAAAAATTATAAAGAGTTTTTGACAACACACATCACAACCGGCTTCCCCTATTAGTAAGATATTGGAATCATATTCTTTGCCCATTTTAGCTGTATGGTTTAAAATTATTTTTATTAATACATAAATTGAAATTATAAAGAGGTCAGATTTCATGTAGTTCTTAGATACAGTTCTAATTACATAATGATAATACCCTCCTCTTCAACTTTTTAAATTTTTATAATAACATGCTCTTTTTAAAAAATATTTATTTGAAAAGCAGAGTTACACAGAGGCAGAGAGAGAGAGGAGGGTGGGGTCTTCCATCCACTGGTTCACTTCCCTGATGACCACAATGGCCTGAACTGTGCCTATAAGAAGCCAAATGTAGGAGCTTCCTCAGGATCTCCCACACAGGTGCAGGGGCCCAAGAATTGGGCCACCCTCTACCATTTTCCCAGGCCATAGTAGAGAGCTCGATCAGAAGTAGAGCAGCCAGGAATCAAACCACTGCCCATGTGGGATGCCGGCCCTGCAGGTGGTGGCTTTACACACTATGCTACAGTGCCAGCCCCAGACATACTTCTTTTTTTTTTTTTTGACAGGCAGAGTGGACAGTGAGAGAGAGAGAGAGAGAGAGAGAGAGAAAAGTCTTCCTTTGCTGTTGGTTCACCCTCCAATGGCCGCCTCAGGCAGCGCACTGCAGCCAGCGTACCATGCTGATCTGAAGCCAGGAGC